GACACTAGTTGGTCACTCGACAATTGTCGAGAAAAAGGCCTTATGTCGAGATGAATCTCCCAGAAATATCAAAGCAAAAGTGAGAACACCAAAATTAATGAAATATAATTTAAAAAGGCGGTCAAGCTTAAAATTAGAATTGAGAATGAGTTTTGGTAGAAAATGGACTAATGGAGTTAAGAAACACTTGTTATAATCGAATACACACAAGTACTCGGAAATTTTATTTTTAGACCAATATTTCTACACTGTCTTTACTAAATGAGTTTATGAAACTTGAACAAATGGAAGATTCTAAATAACCAAAATAGAAACACTCTATAAATTTTTTTACAATTAAATATACTAGTTGCTTCATTTTTTCCGCATCCGACCGAAAAACTAGACCAAAATGGAGGGGCATGTCACAATGATCTCAAAGACAGAAATGAATGATATCTTGGTATACATAAAACCCTAAATTTTTTTAGGAAAAACCAACCCAAAGCCCTACCCATTAATCTTGACACTTGTCAAAGGGTTATAATTTTTGGAAATAAAAAAGTAATTAATTTATTTGATATGAATTGGTAATTTTGTTTCAATTTGAGCCCAAAGTAAAGGGCATCGCTTTTGCTTTACAAAATTTCTTTTGAATAATAAAAGGAAAAAACATTTTCAAACATGATAATCTTAAGGAGAGATGATGTTCTTGAAATGGACATGACCCACTTTGCCTCAAAAACTGCACAAAAAGAAGTGGGGCAAGAAGTAAAAGGAAAAAGAAAGAAGAAGAAGAGAGATAGAAATGATGAAAATATCTTTTGATTTTAGATCAAGGACAAGAAGACTTATCACAAGTCTTTATGAAATCATGTTTACTTCAAAAAGCATATCTTGGGAATGAGCAATGGGACTCGAATCGACTTTACAGGAACCCAAACCCAATGCCCGCATTGAAGAGAAACCATTTACCATCAAACTGAAGAAAGAGAAAAAAAAGACCAATAATGATACTCCTAATGGCTTGAGTTGATATTGGCACCCTTGAAAAAGTGGAGAGGCAACGAGACCCTATACTCGATCACAGTAAGAATTCAAGGTTGGTGTTCATAAAAGAAAGAAAGCATTTCCTTTAAAACAATGGTACAAGAAGATGAAGAAAAACATGATAGAAGCTTGAATTAACATACTAAATGTTGACACTGGGGAAGATTATTGAATGATAGGTCCCCTATTTGAAGATTGAATAAGATTGCTAATCGATACTCTTGCACCATTTGTATAAAATAAGTACAAGTTGCATCCAGGCTTTTATACATGCACATTTTACATATCTTTAAAAGAAATAAGAAGATTTGTGTTGGCAAGATATCGAGAAGAGAACCAAAAGTTGAACATCAAAAATGGAGGATTCGAGACACATGTTTACCAGAAAGAAAGCCTCTTTGATAACTCAAAGTGATTAGAGAATAACATTTTCAACTCAACTTTGTCTTCTCCAAAAAAAAAGGGTTTGGATCACACAAACTAGCCCTCATAGATTGATTTCTTAAGATAATTTGACTTTCAAGGGGAAAGATGAGAAGGCTCACTCCCTTGATCCAAATAGAAAAAGGATGATCCAGAGATAATGTTCAATAAGGAAAAATCATAACCATCAAAGCGTGGAAAGATTATGATTGTCAAACTTAACAGAGAAATTCCAGTTGCTGAGATTGAGACATGTCCAAAAAGAAGATCTATCTCCCAAGATTAAAACTTGGCATCCTTTAGAGAATGAAGCAAAATTGTTCTCCAATTTGGCATCCATTAGAGAAAAGAACATATCAACCATTGATTACGACTTGGCATCCTTAAGAGAAAGGAACAAGGAGCATATCAACTATTGTTTACGACTTGATGTCCTTTATAGAAATGAGCAATATAGTTCTTTGATTTTGGTATACTTTAGAGAAAGGAGCATATCAACTATTGATGATGACTTGGCATCCCCATTCTAAGGGAGCAAGATCATTTTCAAACTTGATTATGGGCGAAGATATGAACGTGGCATCAGAGGAACAAGAATGTTTTCAGAGTTCATCTCTAGAAAAACGATTATTCAGATTTTGTAAGCTTGAGTTGAAACTGAACAAAAATTTATGTATTTGTGTCTTTTCCCTATTCTCGTTGTACGAAAATAGGCAAAGAGGGACATCTTTAATACTCAATTTTCATCTGGCCTACCATTTACAACATTTAGATATTTTTATTTGAGCGAATTTTGAAGCCTTATACATCAGCTTATTGGCAACAAATATTTGGACGAGATCCATACATTTTTATGGCATGATATCTTCTTGAAACTGAATCGATTTCCCATTAGATTTCCAACGCATTTTGAAACGCCTCAATCGAACATCGGGAACTCAAGATATGCTTATTTTAGCAAAGAAAGCGTGTGCAAAAAATTGGATTCGAACACAATACGAGGATTTTCATTTATTACAAAATTTCAATTATTTTATTGAATATTTGTAATTAAATTTAGCTTTATGCTTTTCATAGTTTATTTAGGGTAATATATGATATTTTTTATTATTTTAGGATTTTTTTTCTTTTAAATTAGTGTATCTAGCATTAATGAAAAAATGGTAGAATTTTCTCTTTTAGGAATTTTGGGAGCCTATAAATAGACACTCATCTTATGTAAAGGGGAAGATAATTTTTTTTAGGAGAAAAAGAAAAAGAGAGCAACCCTAAGTTTTGTAATTTGAAAGATATAAGCTAATAAAATGAATTTTTGTTTGAAGGTAATTGTTTTTTTATTAATTTTATTCTTGTTTTTTATCGATTTCGATTTTCTTTTTCTGTTTAAAACTTCATTGGATGAGAAGAAACCAATGAACAAGGAAAAATGCTTTCAAATATATATTTATAGAGATTTATCCTTCCTTGAGCTTTCTCGATGAAAACCGGCTATGAATCTTGAATGATATTTTTTTCCTTTTGATCCATAACTTAAAAAAAGAAAATATATTTTTTTATTTTGAGTGTTGAATTCAATTAAATGACTTAATGACCCGATATGTATCCTTATGGGATCCCTTGATTTTTAATTTGATTTTATTGGTTCTAACTGTTTTCTTTTTCTACTTTTTTCTTTTATTTTTTTTCTTAATTTGGTTTCCGCATTTGTTTCCAAGATTTTATTTTTCTAATTTTTCTTTCTCTTAGTCCTTGCTTATTTTATTCCCTAATTTGTGTTTTTATTTTTGGATTAAAATTTTAGTTTAATTTAAATTCTCTATGTTTTTCTAAATTAATTATTTTTCCTCTATTTCTTATTCTTTGTTTTTATTTTTTATTCAATATAAAATTTTTATTATTTTATTATTTTTATTTTTTATTCTTTGAATTTATTTCTTTATATATTTATTTCGTATGTATAAATTCCCTTTAATTTTAACCTTTAATTTCTAGATTATTTTATTTCAATCCTAGATTAAAGTTTTTGACTTTAGACAAAACTTTTAGGTTTTTTCATTTAAGCTCTCATCTAGATTAATTAGGGGATAATTTAAACTAGTTCTCGCATGTTCTATTTTTAATTATTGGAGTATAATAAAATTTGCTAAAATCTAATTTAGGATTAATATTAGAGCTTTGACTTTAGATTTAATACAATTAGGTTCTTAACACATCATTTACTCTTGACTTAGATTAAGCTTTAACTTCAAATTTAGTTAGTTTAATTCTTTAATTAGAATAATTAGAAAATTTATTAGGATTAATATTATAGCCTCTATTTTCGGTAGGTTTTAGTCCCTTAAAAGTATGATCAATAATTTATTTGATTGTTTGCTTTGAATTGATTTTAAAATAAATAAGACAATATTAGTTTATTAGGAATTTACGATATAACTCCCGCTTTTTCCCGGGTGGGGACTATTGTGAATTTCCTAAATAAATTAATATCATTTTCAATTCATATTATGATTTCAAAATTGAGATAATATCTATTTATAAGACATTAATGATATAATCTCCGCTTATGCTCAGGGAGGATTGTCTTTAGTTTCTAATAAATTGGTAATCTTTTCAAAAATTGCATCATGGTGGATCCTCAATTAAATAAAAACTCGAACTCATAAATTTTCAAATTAAAACAAAGTGTAACCAACTATGTATCAAATTTGGGTTTTGTAGGGTCTTAATCCTTCCTTATACGTAATCGACTCCCAAACCTATCTTCTGTTTTCGTAGATCAAAACTTAATTGTTTTGGTAAAATAAAATATTTTATTAAAATAACTTAATTTTTAGGTGGTCCAATCTCACTTAAAAAATGATTGATGACAACTCTCATATTTTTAAAACCAATAGAACTTAAGGCTTAAAGACTGTTCTGAAAGAATATATAAATAAAAATAAACGAACAATAAACTAACGCTAAATGGTTGTCCCTTGTTCCCATATGTAATGGAGTAAGGGGAGGTAAGATAGTAGGCTGCCCCAAACACTAGGTTGAGAACAACTTCCGTATGAGACTTCTAAATTATAAAATGCCCTCCATGAGACTCGATCCCACGACCTCAAGGTTAAGAACCTTGTGCTCTACCAACTGAGCTAAACGAACGCTAAACAAACACTAAACGAACACGTTTGTGGATATATAAATGAACACGTTCGCGAACATTAAACGAACATGTTTACGAACAATAAATAAACAAACACGAACCGAACATAATCATAAACATCTTAAAAAATAAACAAACGGACACTGACATAACTTTTTGGTTCAAGTAGAGCAAATGATCCGGACGCCAGTATGTTAACACAAATAGAGTGCACACGAATGTAGAAGATAAATCTCAACCGGGTATGACCGTTGCTCTGCAACGGCTAGTTTTTCTCTCTTTTTATTTCAAGAAATCTGATTTAATTTTTGTAACGGTTGACTTTAAGAACAAAATTCAGAAAACAAACATCCCAACTCGTTTTTCTCGAAATCCAAACAGGGTATCCAAATTACATTTATTTCTTCTCTTTTCTTGTTCAATCTTCATCAAAATCTTTTCAATTTCTAGCTCACCGATTCACCGCGAAAAAAATGAATCTCGGTTGCTTAGAGGATTGCATGCTTGTGTCAAACAAACAAAACCCAAAGATTGTCGTTGATTCTCCGATCAACGAAGGGAAGGCCACCGATGAGTCTTTGGCGTCGTCTTCTTCCAGGACTGGGAAGGTGAGGAGGAAAAAAAAAGAATATTTTCAGTTTCAAGATCTATGGTTGTTGTTACGTTACGTAACATTTGCCTTGTTTCTTTTTTCTTAGATTTCTCTGGCGTATACTGTTTAGTTTTAACCTCTAACAATAGGGTTTCGTTTGACTGACTGAAATTAAAACCCTGAAAATCCTAAGTCGGCGGTTCTCTTTGATATCTTTGAAGATTAAATTAATTGCTGAATTTCAATGTATGAAGCTAATAGTTAGTAGTATTTGTTCTGAACTACTTTTTGGGGGGATTGAGAAATTGGATCATGCTGAAATGAATTAAGTTATAATTGATATTGATCTGTAGTTCTTGCCTGGCAGTAAATTAATACCTGGGATTTAGTTTATTAGGTGTAAACAAAGGGGGGAAACAATATTAATAGTCTTTTATAAACTCTGATATGATTCGTTGTTAATTGAAATTTTCCGGTGGACGGGATGTAGAATGTTTCTAAGCCTCAATATGATATACCTGAATGATTCATACTTGAAAAAGGCATTGGGGTTTGTGAACTTACCCTTCTTAAAATGCCTACAGATGCATCTACTCTGCAACTTATCATTGCTTTCATTTTGTTTTATAATTCTGCTTTTGTGAATGGTGCAGAATAAATCAACCAAAGATATCAGTCCCTCAGCATTGAATTCTCTAAACAAATTTACTTCCCAAATTAAGAAGCCTTCACACAGGAAGAATTCTCCTTTGAATTGGTTCCCCCGAAAAAAGATTGATTCTTATTTAAAAAGGAAAATAAAGATGCTGCAGGTTCTATCCTATGTACATATACATTAAATTTGATTGCACATCTTCTTTTCTCTTCTTTTTTGACCAAATTTACTAATGTGGGGACTTTTTTCAGGAAGTAGATGGTATGAATTTAACTCTTGATGAGACCCTGGAAGATTCAAATCCTCATTATTGTAGGGTTTTGAGAGAAAAAATGGCAGCAAGAGAGGCTGCACACAAGGCAATTGAGGCTCGTAAAGCAGCACTGGTAGAAGCTTCTTGGTGTAGAATACTCCAAGCAGCCAGGTATTATTTTGCTTGCATATGAGGACATAACAATGTGGTTTTTTTTCTTTCCCCTTCCTTATTCCTGGAATCTTTCAGGATTCGAAGCACGGAAGCTGATGAACTGCTGTTGAAAGCTGAGAAAACCGCTGCAGCAGCATTTGAAACAGCAACAGCTTTGGGAGTGATAATGTATGATATTCCTAACTGCGCTAAGAGTACCTGTCAGATTGAAGCATCCACGATAAATAAAGCAGGTTCTACTACTCATACCATTAGAGCATCTTTTGAAACAGCATTTGAGGTAGATAAACAAGTGGCCGCGGCTGTAAAGACTGCTTTCCGGAGGCTTGCATCCTGCTCCTCTTTTAATAAAGATGAATTTAAAGACCTGCTAAGGAAAATCAATGAGAATCCAGATACAGGTTATAACAATCTGAAGTCAGCAGAGATCTCTTCAGAATGTCAATCATCAGAGGCAGCTTCAGAACTTGAGGCATTGACTCAAGAAGATGGTTTCAAGTCTGAAGACTTCAATTGCAAGATGTCAGCTTCAAAGACTAGAGAGAAGAAAGCTAAGAGGAGGCAATCTCTTGAAAAACTCAACCCGGAAAAGCTTGTAGAGATTATGGTTGAGAGGCTTAAATGTTTACAAGAGGATGAACTGTCATCGCTTGCTACAATAGTTGCAACTTGTGGTTTAAATGCTGCCTTAGCGGAAGTAGAACATACTAAGCTTCATCCCTCTGCTTCAGCTCTTAATTTTGATAGAAGAGCATCTTCCATTGGAGCTGGAACTGTAAGAAAAACTAACCAAACTGGACAGCATGACTCTGAACTCCCGAGTCTGGACAAGTTTTTGGTTAAGCACACGACCAAGCTTGAACTAGAGGTACAAGAAGCCAGGAGCAGAAGGAACGAATCTAAAGATGAAAGTGGGCATACACTTGTGAAGCATTCTTTAAATTCCGAGGAAGATATTCAGGCGAACGAAAAAAGTTTCAATGAGAATTCTGGGGTGGATCGTAGAAAGTCAGATGCAGATATTTCTGTTGAGGTCGTTCCCGACTTGGGAAGAATATTGGTTAAGCATTCCTCAAAACTTGAAAAGGAAATTCAAGAGGCAAAAAGGAATCATGGCAACACATATGAGCGCAGAGGAGTGTCAAATGGGGGGACTAAACAAAAGAAAGGTGATATCGTAGAAGTACCAAGTCTGGATAAGTTTCTGGTGAAACATGTCTCAAGGCTAGAAAGAGAAGTTGAGGAAGCAAAAAGCAGAAGAAAAAATAATCTAGTCGAGAAAGGCAAGGAGGCTAATGGAGAAGAATTTGGTAAGGAAAATATCAACTTCAATAAGGAAGTAAATAGAACTGAAAGCGAAGATAGCCTGGATAAAATCCTGGTTAAGCCTAGGAACCACAAAAAACAAGGAGGAACCCATGTCACAGATTGTGAGAGTTTGGACAAAGTTTTAGTTAAGCATGTTTCTAGACTAGAGAAAGAGAAATTGAGGTTCAACGCAAATGAAGAAGAAATGGTGAAAGTAAAGAAGAGGGGAGGTGTAAACATGACACCGGTGGATGATCAAGGTAGTTTGGATCAAATTTTGGTTAAACACAAATCAAAGTTAGAGAAAGAGAAGATGGCAACTGGTGAGAAACCAAGTGAACAGATTAGATTCTCTGTATCTCGTAGAGAAGCAAGGGAGAGAGAGTTGCAAGAAGATTGTGAGAGTTTGGACAAAGTTTTAGTTAAGCATGTTTCTAGACTAGAGAAAGAGAAATTGAGGTTCAATGCAAATGAAGAAGAAATGGTGAAAGTAAAGAAGAGGGGAGGTGTAAACATGACACCTGTGGATGATCAAGGTAGTTTGGATCAAATTTTGGTTAAACACAAATCAAAGTTAGAGAAAGAGAAGATGGCAACTGGTGAGCAACCAAGTGAACAGATTAGATTCTCTGTATCTCGTAGAGAAGCAAGGGAGAGAGAGTTGCAAGAAGCATGGGGAGGCTTAAGCTTAGGAAACTCCATGAAGCCACATTTATCCAGACTTGAACGAGACAAGGCAAGCTTCTCTCAACAGATTACATGAAAGCTATTTAGTTTTTCTTAAGTTTGACACATTTTATAATGGATTTTGTTCGGTTCTTTATTTTCAGGCTGCTTGGAAAAAGGCAGAAGAGGAGGAAAGAATGCAGGCCGTGATGGAGTAGTAGGACATGCCCATAGTTGACTTGCTTTTTCCCCCCCCTTCTTTTGTTCAATTTATGAATATCAATTTGTATAAGAAGACTGCTTCTTTCTTAAGATATGTACATCTTTGTCTTCTTCTTTCTTGCTCTATAATTTTATATATACAATAAGGGCTTAGTACACTCTTAAGTGCTTAAACTATATCTTAAATTAACTTTTGATACGTAAAGAATTTGTCGCTAAATATAGGTAGGTGTCTAATGTTTTTTTGTTACAGTTTTAACTGCCCGAGTTGCAACAACCGTTAATTGACATGTGTTGCCCTAATGTTTTTTTTGAAATTTTTATTTAAAAAGCAAAAATAAAATTATTATTTTTTAAAAAAAAAACCCAAGTGTTTCAAAAATATCAAACTGACCCCAAGATTTTGAGACCCAAATCATTCAATTGTTTTGTCGCTCATTGTTGTCGTCGTCGGTTGCATACCAACTGGTCGTCAGACTACATTATTGTCAAGTCCCTTGTCGTCACACCTAAACCGGTCATCGATTGAAAACCGACCGCAAATTATCAAAAAATCACGCGCAAATCAATCGAAGACGGTGGATGGGCTTCACCAGACTTTGGATTATAGATGGTCGGTAGTGGTTCCACCACCGGTGGGTGGGTTTGTTGGAATTTGGGTTAGGATTCTGGGAGTATTTGGGGGTTTTATGGGGTGTTTTGTGAAAAGAAGGAAAATATAAGGTTTTTTTAAAAAATAATAATAATAATTTTTTTTAAATAAAAAATAAAAAAAAATTTAATGGTAAAAAATTAACGAATGTTATCATAGGTACCTAAAAGTGTAATAGATAAAAACATTATACGTCTATTTTTAACGAAAAAAAATTTATACACCAAAAGTCAATTTAAAATATAATTTAAACACTTAAAAATGTATTAAACCATGCAATAAAAATACAAGTTTCCTATCTCTTTTTTTTGTTACCTTTTTACGTTTCTTGCACTATATTTTCCTGTTTCCGAAATTCAAGATGAGACAATTTCGTGAGATGAAATCACTCAATGTTGTCGTCTGTTTGGTGATTTAATAATTATTTTTAGTTGTTTAATTTTTTTATTATATTTTCCAACTGAAATGAAAATTATTTCATTTAATTTTTATATGAAAATAATATATAAGAAATGACAATTAGATAAAGACTTACCTATTATTTAGTATAGACTAAATTTAATAACTTTTATTTTATTATTTTTTAAACTTCACACTTATCAAAATTCTAATTTTACCTAATGTTTAATTTAAAATAATATATTCAAATCTTATTGTTTAATTTATTAAACAACACATAATTTTAAGGTATTTTTTAGATGATTGAATGAGTAAAATTTACACAAAAGCCGAGAAAGGAAATTGAATACTTGAGCATGTTGGGTTAAATTCGTTTGGTGGATTAATTTAACTTGAAATTTTTGAATAATAATTTAGTTTAATTCGATTTGAATCATGGTTGAATTTACATTATTTCTGGATATTATTACAAATACAAATATTTATAAAATATGTGAATATAAGTTTCACATATGTGATATTTATTTAAATTTATATTGGTATAAATTTAAGTATATTTTGAGTATAGTTCAATTTGATTGAATTTTTTTTATATAATTATCGCCATCTGATTCATTATAAATTAATTAGACATAATGTCAAAATTAATTCTCAACTTTTATTAAATTTTTTTTTTTTGATAAATTTGTTTTATTCGTCCAAAAGAACATGCCAATACAAATAAAATTTACAACCCCCACTACAACAACTCAAGGAATAAACCAAACAAGATGATAAAAAATAAATAGCAAGAATTGAACGCCCATTTAGTAACTAAAGAAGGATCTACCTTATCTAGTAGTATTTTTTTATCTGAGAAAAAATAGCAGAACACTGACGTGTTCCCCTTCCATGTTGCCTACTATTCCTCTCTCGTCAAATATAGTAATTAAAAGCACACCAAACTATACAGATGATAGCAACCCTCAAAGGCTTCCCCTCAGTAATTGAGTCTTTAATTCCTTCAACTTAGTCGGTGCCATGCGATACGGAGCAATGGATACTGCAGGTGTACCGGGCAACACCTCGATTTTAAACTCTAATTTTCTATCTGGAGGTAGTCCTGGTAACTCATCAGGAAAAACATCTGAAAACTCCCTCACAGTTCGTAGATCCTCTAATGCTGGACTTTGGACCATTGTATCCACTACATGAGCTAAGAAGGCTTCACAGCCTCTGCTAATCAACCTCTGAGCTATAGTCGCATAAATGATACACGTGGAGCATTCACCCGACTTTCTAGATACTAAGACTTTGGTTCCACACAACCCGCGAAGCTTAAGCTGCCTCACTTTACAGATTAAACTTGCATCATTCTCAGACAATCAATTCATTCCCAAAATTACATCAAACTCTCGAAAGGATAAGTCCATTAAATCAGCTGGAAAGAGCTGACCGTGAATCTCGACTGGACATTTTCGACATACTTTATCCACCAACTCATCAAGTCCTAATGAACTTGACACTCACCCTAACATCCAACTCCTCAACAAGAATACCTTTCTCTCGGATAATATCACTACATGAATGTGTGGAGCCAGAGTATACTAATTCAGTAATGGGAACAGAAAATATTGTAAAGATGCTTGTAATCACATCACCAGCATGAAAGTGCTCTAGAGCTTTCACAACATACTGTCTAGTTGGAACTCGAACATTAGGTGTAGCAGCGAATCCAATGGTACCTCTACCCTGCTGTCCAGTGGTGGCACTACCACCACCATGAGTTGATCCTTTACCACGCTGTAATGAAGGTGTGGATCTCTGGGTCTGGACAGGCGGAGCATCACTCACCTTATAACAAGCTTTGATAAAATGCTTGACAGAACCACACTGGAAACATGCTCTAGTCCTCCGATAGCACTCCCTTGAATACCTCCGGCCCCAAAAATCACAAACTGTAAAAGTTGGAGTCTTGACTGACCCACAAGAGCTCGCTAGCGATAAGGAAGTCGATGGTCTTCTATGCGCTCCTGAATCTGACCTATGACTAGACCTCTGTGATTGCACCGATAAAGTTCTCCCAGATCCTCTAAATTTTTGTTTCCTCTTACTTGATGTCTGAGATGGGCGTACAGCATCTGAAGACCTTTTACTTTGTATACCAAGCTCACTAACTAAACTCGATCTCATACCTTGAACTCTCTCAACATCTTTAGCTTGTTCCATCAACTCTGAAAATACTTTGGGCAGGCTTGTTGCCAAATGAGTATGAATATCGATGTGTAACTCCTCTCGAGTCCTACACATCAAAATCTCAGTAGCTACAAGCTCCAGGGTGAAACGACTCAATCGCAGGAAATCCCTCTCGTACTCATACATTGATCTGTTATACCCTTAACCAACTGGGAGAATTGCATCCTTAGATCATCCATATATGCCTCACCTATGTACTTTTATCTGAACTCGATCAATAAATGATCCCACGTCGACTGCTTGGGCTGCGCAACTATCTCAGATGTCTCCCACTAATCATATGCATCTCCCTTCAACAACTAGACGATGCATTTTAAATTACCCATAAGGGTAAAGTAAAGTGGCCTCAGAGTCCTCAAAGTGTCCCTAAACCACTGATCAACAACTATGGGGTCATCCTCAGTATTGTCATAAAAGTTATCTATCTTGCATCTATGAAATCTTTCAATCGGGACTCTTGTGAAACGACAGGTGGTGGTGGAGCAGGTGCGGTATGTTGAACCCTCATAATCGTTCGAATAATTCGATGTAGCGCCAAATTAAGATTCTGGAAGTAAGTTGCCTCATCCATGCCTATGCCTTCTAGAACATCAAACTCATCGATGTCCGGGACAAATTCATCACCGGTATCATCCATCAAAGAGGCATGACTCTTATCACTAGCCTCATGGCTATGATCTGAATCGTCGGGCATGATGAATCTAAAAATAAATAGAAAGAGAAAAAATCATCAGTTTTCCAGTCTTAGAAGAGTACATTCTTAAACCTAGGGGCATGTATTCATCAACATCGTAATATAACTGATATCACTAAATGTAACACTCTAATCTCGAATACAAAATACCAAAAGACCAAGATGCTATATTCGGGTCACCGGAACAACCCAACAAATTTTCTAATATTTCAAAACATTAAATTTGTTTATTATTATTTTCTTTTATATATATATATAATAAATATCATCAAATAGTTACACTAAAATAGTATTAAAAGTAGTTGTACAAAAATATGTGGAGCTCCATCAAAAGTATATCTATTAAAATAGTCAAATATCTCAAAATAATAAACGAGTTACATACCTCAAAATACAAGTGACACCATGTGAATACAATGCCCACTAACAGATTAGGTATTGTACTCTGAATACGAGATGCTGGAAATCCCATGTTGATGATGCTCTTCAGGTACGAACAAAAGTCTACTAATTTGAAAATAAAAATAATTCGAACATTGAGCTTTGCAAACTCAGTGGTACATAACTAATCTACAATTCTTCAAGAAATTCACAAATATGAGCATGCAAATCAAACGTATACAAAGAAGCAACAAATAAATCACCGATCACCAAAATTTCATAAACAGATCACTTGCATATCAAACTTGCTAAATTAGTCAAACTTATAAAATTGGTCAAACTTGTCAAGCTTGTTAGGATGCACATGTGCTCAAATAATCAGGTATTTGGATAGTCCCGTACCACTCATGGCCTCTAATCAAACAAATCTCAGGTGTCCGAATTGTTTTCCCGAGCGCTACACATGGTCGCAAATTAGGTTAGAGCCCAAAGGCTGCGCGTAAACAAGGCATGAAACAACTAATCACGAGTGTAACACAATGGTATTCAAAGTCTTATGTTTATCTTAAACTTGTAAGGTATATTATGTTTGAGTATATTTTTGTCATTTAACTTTACAAAATCTTAAATTATGACTAAAATATTAATCCTTCAAATATGACAGCTTGCACTACCTTTAAAGGAAAATATGTAATTAATAATCTACAATTTAAAATCATGTTCTGTTTGAT